AAAACAAAACATCAACCTATGGTACAGGAGAAAATATCTGCAAATGATGCAACTGACAAAGGTTTAATTACCAGAATATATAAACAGCTCATACAACTTAATAACCAAAAAACAAACAACAAAGTTCAAAGGTGGGCAGAAGACATACAACAAGCAATTATCCAGTGAAGACACACGAACGGCCAACAGGCACATGAAAAAATGCTCAATATTGCTAATCATCAGAGAAATGCAAATCAAAACTACTATGAGATATATCACCTCACACCAGTCAGAGTGGCCATCATTAAAAAGTCCACAAATGATAGATGTGGGAGAGGGTGTGGAGAAAAGGGAACCCTCCTACACTGCTGGTGGGAAAGTAGTTCGGTGCAGCCATTATGGAAAACAGTATGGAGATTCCTCAAAAGACTAAAAATAGACTTACCATATGATCCAGCAATCCCACTCCTGGGTATATATCCAGAGGAAACTCTAATTCGAAAAGATACATTCATAGCAATATTCATAGCAGCACTATATAACAATAGCCAAGACACGGAAGCAACCTACATGTCCATCGACAGACGACTGGATAAAGAAGCTGTGGTATATTTATACAATGGAATACTACTCAGAAATTAAAAAAAAGAATAAAATAATGCCTTCTGCAGCAACAAGGATGAACCTGGAGATCGTTACTCTAAGTAAGCCAGAAAGAGAAAGAAAAATATCATACGATATCACTATAAGTGGAATCTTAAAAAAATAAGAGAAAGAAAAAAAGAGGACATTAATGAACTTATCTACAAAACAGAAACAGACTCGCAGACATAGTCAACAATCTTATGGTTACTGGGGGAAAGGGGGTCGAAGGGATAAATTTGGGAGTTTGAGATTTGCAAATGTTAACCACTATATATAAAAATAGATAAAAAACAGATTTCTTCTGTATAGCACAGGGAACTATATTCAATATCTTATAATAACCTTTAATGAAAACGAGTATGAAAACAAACATGTCTATATATATACATGTCTGGGACATTATGCTGTGCATCTGAAGTTGACACGTTGTAACTGACCATATACTCCAAATAAGAAAAAAAGAAACGTCTCACCAAAGTGGTTACAGAGGGAACATATCTCACCATAATAAAAGCCATTTATGACAAACCCATAGCCAGCATATTTGTATCTGGATCTTTACAGAAGCTAAACCCTAACGCAATCAACTCTTGATCAGTTACGTGTGAATTCACAGTTCAGGGATTATATGTAACAAACCATAAATCCCCTATCAGCACCCCCAATCCATCGATACTCAAAATACCCATCAAAATACTCAACGGTGAAAAGCTGTTGCATTTCTTTATAGTAACAATGAAACAAAGTGAAAAAACAATCCTGTTTAAAATTGCTTCAAAAAATCATAAAATACCTAGGAATAAGCCTAACCAAGAAAGTGAAAGGCCTATACCCTCAGAACTATGCAACGCTGATAAAGTAAATGGAAACGGATTCCAAGAAATGGAAAGTTCCTCATTATTCAGTACCAACAATGTGCCGAGTTCTCTGCTGAGGACTTTGCACCCATCATCTCGTTTAAGCCTCTGTAACAACCCAAGAAGTAGCCGTTATTCTTACCTGCGTCTCTCAGAGGAGGGAGCAGCTTTGAAGAGGACACAGAACACCATGGTGGAGCCAGAAGCCAATTCCCGCTTGTCTGACTGGAGAAGCCAGTTTAGTTACTCATCAGTCAGGATGCCTGCAGCTACAAGTAAAGAGGGCCGTCTTACAAGTGGCTTAAACAATGAGAACACACACCGTTTTGCACAAGCAGAGCTCCTAAGCTCATGGCCAGCCGATCCAGCAGCTCAGCAATGCGTATTGGGAGCCCAGCTTCTCTGCATCTCTCCACGCCGCCAGCCTTGCCCAGGTGTTTCGTATCGCTCCACTCCACCACCCTCAGGTGTGACTCCTTATCTTTACAAGACACTGCTGCAGCCCCAGGCATGGAAAAACAGGAAAAAAATTCAAGAAATTTCCCTTTGTGTGTTTCTTTTAATCAGAAAAGCCTCCCCAGAAGTCCTCAGTAGGCTTCTCCGCAGGTTCTGCTGGTAGGACTAGGGAATATGCCCTCGCCCTTGCTGCAAAAACAGCAGGTAAATTGAGTAACTGGCATTTTCAGCCTCAAGAGTGGGAGGTGGGTACCCTGCTGACAAAGAGAAACAGAGCAGACAGGGAATGGCCTCTGGGTAAGTGAATTGCAGTGTCTCAGCCACAGCCTCTGTCCTTCTTCTCAGAGAATCACAATGCACATTGCCAAAAGTCCTATGAAGTCCTGCAGTGTCTTTGTTTAATCTAATGTGTCATAAACTAATTTGACATAACTGTTTAAGAAATGTTAGATTTCATGTATTTTATCCATTCTAAGACATACTTTTTTTTCACATTTTGAAATCTCTGATGATGAGATACAGCTTAAAAGTAGCTCCTTTCCTGACCTCTAATTCTGTGATTCTTCTAAGTATCATCCCCACCATGGCCCCTCGAGACAGGTGGCTCCAGAGTGCAAAAGGATACTCAGCAATGTTCCCTTGCTCCCTGGCTACACACACGCCCAGCAAATATTTACTTACTGAGTATCTGCTGTGAGGCAGGAGCACTGAGAATACAACTGTGTGCAAGGCAGGTGTGAGCTCTCATGTAGTTCTGGTCGAGAGGAGGAAACAGATTGTAAATAAGTGAACAGAAAAAGAGACGAACACAAAGATAACTGCTACAGAGACACAAACAGGGCACTGGAAACGAAGAAAAGACAGAAACTCACTTCATACAGTTACTGAAGGATGACAACGAAGCACTCAAGGGAAAAGTGGAGGTTTTCTAGGCCAGAGAACAGCATCTGCAAAGGCACTGGGGTGGGTAAGAGCTTAGTGTATTTGAGGAACTAAAATATACTGGAGTGAAGCAAATGAAGGGGAGAATGAGATTAGAAGAGGTGGAAGGCAGGAGCCGGAACATACAGAGGGACGAGGACACCTCTCATTCATGCAGGTTATGTGAAGACTATCTGGCCTGCGCTGTGGTTGTTAACCTACAAGAAGCAGGGAGAATTGCTCCAAGTCTTGCTGCTCAATGTGTGGGCTGCAACCAGCAGCAAGGGAGTCACCAGGGAGCTTGCAAGGAAGGCAGAATCTCAGGCCCCACTCCCAACCTACTCAGTCTGAACCCATATTTCACTAAGACCCCCAGGTGATTCACACACATAGTGAAGTCTGAGAAGTGCTGCTCTAAACTATCTTTCTTCTTTGGACAGACACTGCAATATTTTGTGTCCAACTTTCTCAAGTTCTAGAAGGGAGCCCTTTCCCCAGGCACATGATCTCTCTGGACACTGGAGGGCAACCTTACATTAATAAAGCAGAACACAACCTGGGGGGAGAGGTGCACAGGAATCACAGAAAATTAGAGCTTAAAGCCAATACAGTGGCTGCAAAATGCAGCCACGGTAACAGGCCACTGAGCATTTGAGCAGATCAGGACAAGCAGCCAGCTCCCCTGTGCCCAGAGCCGCTCATCCTCACCAGGCACCTGGTATGGAAACACAGGGACAGGCAGTGGCAGGTGTCAGCAGCTGCGGCTGGCCACTGAACAGAGCCAAATGTGGAGCAGAAGGGCTTGAAATTCAAGGGGAACAAAGCACTGCTAAAATTCATAGCAATTATGAATTGAGTCTGCAGAGTTATGCCCTATGTGTAATTAAATTTTAAATGCTTCCTTCCACATCAGACTTTGAGTTGCTAAAACTCTTGATCACACAGTGATAAACACCTGCTTTTACATACAGAGCTGTGAGTCACTGCCAAGCTGTTCAGGAGCCCTAGAGCAAGACTCTAAATAAATAAAACCCAGAAGCCTTAACCACAAAAGCTGGCCTCTCACTATCACCCTAGCATCCACTCGCCTCTTCACCTGGCCCCCAATGTGATCGGCACAGGGGCACAGGCAGAGAAACCAAAGTCCTGCAGTCACCCTCATGATGAGTCCTCAGGGCAAATAAGGGCCAAGAGTATAGATGAATCAGGTCAAAAAAAAGCAAGGTGACATCTATGCCCACAACCAAAATGTTTCCTACTTGTAGGGAGACTGTTCCAGTGTTTCCCGAATTTCAGTCACTCAGATACCAACCTTCACAATTTTCATCAGATTATTTATTTACTTAATGCTATTTATGTGATGTATTTCTTTCAATTGACTCATACCTGACTTTTCTATGTATCAGTAGCAGTGAAATATGGATAAGGACCAGTTTAAGGCTTTTAATACAAATTCAAATAAATTCGTAACTCTTCAAATGTTTTGACCTGGGTAACATCTAAACTTACCTCCCATATTCACCATGAGTCTGAATCCCACACTTTGGGAAATGTCTTCTCTTTGACAGAAGTGGGAGGGGAGAAAAGATTTGTTCTGCCTAGTTTCTTCATGATGGCTGGACTTTGGAAAGCCAAAGGGAAAACAATCTGAAGATGCTTCAGAGAAAAGAAAACACAAGTACTTGGACAATCAAGCCGGGCCCAGTTAACCCCAACCCACCCTGGGGAGCCAAGACTCCCGTATACCACCAGGCTGTTCCCGGGACATCACACTAAGGTTCTCATTGGATACCGTCCCTTTCCCTGCTGCTCTGGATTGTAAAGACTTCGCTTAAGTGGGCATCACCATGAGCTGTAGCAGGGAAATGACAGCACCATGGCTAGGCTCCGCCTCTAACTGTAAGTCTCACCCTCACCATTTACTAGGGAGCGTTATGGGCTGAAGAGTGCCCCCCCTGAAATTTATATGTTGATGCCCTAACCCCCAGTTCCTCAGAATGTGGCTGTATTTGGAGATGCGACCTTTAAAGAGGTGGTAAGTTAAAATGAGGCCATGATGATGGGCGTGTTCCAGTCTGACTGGTGTCCTTGTAAGAGAAGGAAATGAGGACACAGGGGTGCATGTGCACAGAGGAAAAAGAACAGGTAATGAGGCAGCTGGAGGGCCACCATCTGCAAGCCAAGGAGAGAGGCCTGAGAGGAAAACAACTCAGCTAACACCTGGATTGCAGACTTCCAGTGTATTTGAGGAACTAAAATATACTGGAGTGAAGCAATTAATTTCCACTGTTTAAGCCAGGAGAAAAGTAACTTCCATTGTCTAAGCCACCCAGTCTGTGGTATTTTGGTATGACAACCCTAGCAAACTAATACACCACATGAAATTAGATTTGCAAAATAGGAATAACAGCACTCATTTCATTAGGTGGTAAGGACTGAATGATGTGCTTCCAGCACAGCACCTGCCTGCAGGGGAGGTCCAACTGACTGCTCAGCATCTCACTGGCTCTTAGATCAGGTGGTTTACCCAGATGATCAGTGCCCTCTCTGGGCCGGTGCTGGAACTACAGCAAGAGAGGCAAGCCTTTCTTACCTGGAATTTCAACTGGTAAGCGTGTGCAGGCTTGGAGCTTTGTGGCCTTTGGCACAGATTAAGAGACACCACCTGAAGATGAAGACTGAACAGAGGAGGGTGGAGTCAGGAGATGGAAAGAAAGTAGCAAGCACTGTTCATGTTCCTGGATCTGAGTTTGCCTGAAATCCAGCTTCACCCTTCAAATCCCCAGTTAGCATCAGAGCTAACACATTCCTTTTTTGGTTTAAGCCAGTTTGAGTTGTGATTATGTCACTTGCCACCAAAGGAGTCGTGACAAACACACTGGCTCCCAGAGTGAATTAATACTGACAGTGGAGTCTCATATGCAGAGCTTTGCTCTCTGTGTGGGAGATCATGTGATCCCCGTTTAACTAGCACAGGCATCTGCCCCTAGGGAGCAAGCGATAGGCGGTGGGACTCACCAGGGAAGCCGAGCGGCACATGTGAAGGGGTCAAAATCTGCCTCAGTCAGTCGTGAAAAGTTCTTGTAGGGGCTGGACCGAAGGCCTCCTGGCTCCCAAAGCCCTCCTGTGGATAAAGAATGTATTGTCATACAAGATATGTGACTGCCTCACACACAGGATCTTGCCCCCTGGACTAGCAGAAACTGTCCTAAGCAACTTGTCCTTCTGACAAAATAATAGCACTGTTTAATTTTTAAAAATATACCTACTACAAAATGCCACCCCTTCTTGGACTCTGTGGGTAACAGGAGCTGGAAGCTCCGCTGTCCAAGGGTATCAGGTGTTTCTACAGAGAAGGCGGAAGCTGGCAAATCTATCACTTTTCCAATGGTTTGATTTACATAAAACTCCCGGCAGGGGGCAGCGTGGATGTGCGGCTGAGATTTCAGTGTTCCTTAATATTTCCATAAGCATCTGACAGTGTCTTTGGAGGAAACCCACACTGATTACAATAACTCACACTTCTGCACTAAGCATTTTACATATCTCAGCTAGTTCTCTGGTACTTTCATCCTCATTTTACAGATGAGGAAACTGAGCCTTTGCTAAGTAACCCATTCAAGTTTTCACAGCTGTATGTGGCAGAGCCTGAACTTGAACACCAGATACCAAGTCTAGAGCCCTGGGCACCACTCCTGGTTCTGCCTGTAAGATCTTGTGTGATTCCAGGCATGATTTCTTCCCCTCTCTTGGCCTCAGTTTCCTCATCTGACAAATGAAGGGACCACACTGGCTAATCTCTCGGGCTCCTTTCAGCTCTGAAGTTTTTCTAGTTCCAGGTTTAAGAAATTCACTTTGAAAAAGAAAAGAAATTCACTTTGGACTTCTACAAACTGGTGTCAGCCTGCAGCCTAGAGGTGAAGAGAGGTGATGCAGTGCAGCCTTTCAAAAGAGAGTTAGTCCCTGCTGCAGTATGAAGTGTTGAGTTATCACCTCAGCCCTCAGGTAGAGGTACCCAGCTGGACAGGCTGTCTAGAAGCCCACAGTTTTTCTCAGGTTCCACAGGGGTAGCCTATGGGCCAGATTAACCTCACAGAGGTGTTTGGGGTGTTTATTTGGCCCTTGCAATGTTTTAAAACAGTTGACTTAGTTACCAACATTTCTAAATCAAAAGCTGAAATCTGGATTCCTAGGTTCTCCTGAAAAGGCTGAAGATCTGGTCACTCCAGGCCCATGTTCCCATTGGCCATGCTGGTCTGAGTTGCTGGCTCCTGGCCTTTCAGATGGAACAAGAGTGCTCTGCTTTGCCAGGTAGCCAGCTCACACACACACCTCCCCTGCCTGGCTCTGTGGGCACTTCAGCCTGTGAGCCTCACTTAAGGAGCCAAGGGTGCTGTTTTCTTGAGGAGGGAACGGAGGGGAGGGGGCACACAGCACTGGGGCACAAGAACAAAAGCTCCTTTTCCTCCAGATGCAACAGTGCCCTGGGCTGTGACAGTTAAAGCTGAGCCTGCAACCCGGGTGCAGGTAGGAGCCCAGTGCCCTGGAACCAAAACCTGAAGGTGCAACAAAAGGAGGGGTTTTCATCCCTCTGTGAAACTCTCCTTCTCCCAGCAGCCGCCATTCAGATCTCTATCTGCCTTCCGGGGCCCAGGGTGAATTAGCAGGCATGTGTCATTTCCCTGGATAGGAGCTATAATGGTGACATTGTGCTAAGTGGAACAAGAGAGGTTTTCATCTAGCGACCAGCATTGGGCAGACACTCAAGCAAAGGGCTCTGGGGCTCACCCTGCACAAAGGGGTTCAGGAGCGGGCCCTGAGCCAAGGAGAAGTGCCGTGGGCTGGGCTGCATGTCTGCAGTGGCAGGCAGTGAGGCTGCACTTCATTGCAATCTCATTTTCTTCTGCAAATAAATAAGCAAACATACAATCCCAGAGGATAAAGGGAACCTCCCACCCAGGATACCTGCGTTAATAGAAGCCTCATGAGTCCTTGAGCATTTACTCACTGACTCACTCCACAGTACTTTCTCCACTTACTAGGTGCCGGGCACTGTGCTAGGCCCTATGGATCTAGCAACGAGTTAAGACACAGGGCGCTGTCAATCTAGGGGGCCGGGGAGAGGTAAGGAGAGAGGTAAGTAGGAAGTTAAACAATGATGACCCGATGGAAGAACGGAGAGTCACACAGTGACAGAGTCAGTTCAAGAACCCAGATCTGAACCCCTAACCTGTAGTTTTTCTACTCTTCCCAGGATCTCCTGAGAGCGCTGTTTATCTATTCTGAGGAATGGTGGGTTCGGGCTCAGTGAAGAAGGCACCACAAAGACTATAATAAGAAATTTGGACTCTGCACTGGGGATAAAGGAGAGCCACAAATACTTTTAATGGGGATTTGACTGGAGCTGTGGAATGGACACTCTGGTGGCCATGATGGAAGCAGACCTGGAGGCAAGGGGACAAGTTAGAAAGCTAAAGTATGTTTCTCTCACTGGGACAAAGGACGTTTAGCCTCCAAATTTTTCTTTCCCAGGGCTTCCCAGTTCCACCTGATAAGCTAAGAATGAGACTGGGGAATATCATTTGTTTTCACAAGACTGGGAGCATACAGGAGCTGAAAGCTTTTTTCCTGGAATTGTTCACTGAGACCAAACTTGATATCTTTTTTACAGAGCTGAAGCTCTCCACACAAACCTTCAGACAAGCACCAGGCAAACCTGGAAAACCTAGTACAACAATAAGGAAAGGGAAGATATGAGGCAGATCTTTAAAATCCTTTCTAAAGAGTTGCATTTGTACAGCGAAGTGGAAAGGGGAAGAGAAGACCAGGCATCGGCATCCACAACCTTCAACCCCATTCTCGGTCCAGCGCTTCCCTCCCGGCCCCTACAATCTAGCCAAACCAAACTGCTGTGCAGACACATCCTGCAGTTTTCTATCTCTGTGTCTTTGCTCTCACTGTTTTCTCTGCCTGTAATGTTATCTCCTCATTGCAGGCTCACCCAAATGTCTGTCATCCATTACTGTCTCCATGATCAGTGAGTTCTTGCTTTGTCTTAATGAACTCCAAGAGCACTTTCTCTCTCCTCTGATACTTTTCACGTAATAATTTTTAATTAAATTATTTTGTACATATTTATCTCCTGTACTAGACTGTTGATTTCCTGAGTACGGAGATCATGCCTATTTAGCATTACTTCTTCCAAGAGGAATTGGCACAGAATGTAACAAATATTCCTAAGTGAACTGATGAAAAGTGGGCGTAGTTTTTATGGTTAATATAGACCCAATTAAAGGAAAATCACAGAAAAAATATATATAGTTATTCCTAGTCCCAAACCCACAAATAGCCACCTCATCTATCATTCAGTTACCCAACAGCAACCAAGCTGTAGTCAATTTAGTCAACAGTGCCACCTAGTGGACATTATGGGTAATTATTAAACCTGAACCACTACACCTTTGCAGCAGCTTTTTTGTTAATCCTTAGAGCTGTGCAGACTGTTCTCCCATTTTTACATCTTTCCTAGACCACAGCTCAGTTAATTCCACTCCATAAATTATTCTGTAGATACATATAAATTCCCTTTAGTTCTTTTTTCTTTTCCAATTCTCTGATAAACCTCAAAGTCTTTGAAAGTTTCTGAAGCATCTAAAAATCTACCAAAGCCTCCAACTGTTCTTGTAATAGTTACGTTTTATGTATTTTTAAAATTTATTTCAAATGAAATAGTTATGTTTTTTAAAGTATTAATGAGCTAGCCTGGGAATTTGACTACAATTTATAGCCTTGTTTCCAAGCATTTCAGAATTCAAACAGTGAACTTTTGGAAGTTAATCCACTTGTAAATTGTTGGCTGTCTGCTTTAGAATTTAAACTGACCTTTTCAAATTGGAAAAGTAGGCAAGAACAAAGAAGAACTTGGAAAATAATAATGGCTCACATTTTTATAGTTATTTACGGTTTACAAAGTGGGTTTGTACTGTCATTTCATTTGCTCTCCCAACAGCCTTGGAGGTCAGCATGAGGTTTCCCAGAGCACAGATGAGCAAGCAAACCTCATAGGCTTAAAGTTATACACTTAGTAAGTGGTAGAGTAGGAGCTCACACACAAGTTTTCAGACTCCAATCCTATGGTTTTTTCACTACATTGTATTTCTTCTGTGCTCACACACAGACATACTAAACAAACTACTGATGCAATTTGGCAAAGCCAGGGTTAATTTCAACTTGCCCATCAAAGCAATGGAGAAAATATTCCCAGTCCAGGAAAATGCAGGACGCTCTTTCCCAGGCCCTTCCTTGTCTCTCTGTCTTTGCACAAGGTGGTCCCAATGCCAGAATGTTCTAAGTAAAGAGATGGCCTAGTCAAACCTGCAAACTGTGACCTGACCTATCTTGGGGAGGAGGAGTGCCTAGAAGGAGAATTAAGCCTGGAGTTCACTTTATGAAGGGTCTTAAATATAGACATTTCATACTGTCTATAAATGGGTTAGCCTTACTTTCACAGAGACACACTAATAGGATGAAAGATGTTAACATTCTTCATACAACTTTAAACTTAAATCCCATTCCTGACTATACTGGCCAGAGCAATATTTTTTCTATATCCTGTAATCATTTGGGGACAAGCACACTTACATTGCACTGAATTTATATGCTAAAAACAAACAAACAAACAAACAAACAAAAGCCCTGTTCATTCTTTTCACAGTTTTATCACTCTGTGTCAGCACTCTTCACATTGTAGTACACAGGGAACCTCAAAAGTCGGAAGTGTCCCAAACCACTGCTCATCTTTGAGCAATCCTCTCTTTCTCTCCTTTTCCTAGGTGGTTTTATTTTTTTAAAGATCTTTATTATTATTATTTCACTCCTCATTGACACCACTATTGACACTGCACCAGCATAGGGTTTGTTTCACTGTCTGGCACTAGAAGGTGCTCAGGAAAGACCTGTTGAATGGAGAAGATAAACCCAAAGCCAGGAAATGGGTGGCAGCGGCAGGGAAAGAGATTTTGATTCCATTGGAGAAAAACACGTTCTAACAGTCTGGGGCTGGGAAGTGCGCTAGTAAGCCACCGGCACTAGCGGAGTGAAAGCTGAGCTGAACAACGCCTTGGT